GACACAGTGGTCAAGAATACAGCACTTTTACTTTAGTTAAATAATCTTCCAATGAATATTGATTTTCTGCTTGTCTGTGGTGTGACCTTTTCAACCGTTTGTTTACTTCTGTATGATCATGTCGCTCTTCTCATCTCCTATGACGGATCTGTTCCTATGTTGTCCTCAATTCGGATGTTCTTGATGGCAACTGCAGTCCGTAAGTTAATAATCATCAAAAAGTCTTTAGCACAAACCAATACTGATCCCTTCTCGCTACTGTCTAATAGAGTCGGTGTCGGCTGGGGTGTCTGTGATGTGCTTGGGCTGCACTTTTGCACAAGCAATCTTTCCTGTCTGGTCAAGTTAGTGATGGATGGTTTGTTTTGCACATTACCTGGAAAGCTCTGTTACACTTTGGGTAGGGATGTCAGCGAACGCACTGCGCAGGCCTCTGCGCATGCATTGCGTCATCGATTTTTTGAACGTGATCGCGGCCGACAGAGAAAACATGGCCGCGGTCTGTTTGCACCGCTGGGAGTCGTAAAATTACTGTTCTTCTGTCCCCGCGACCATTCAAATCATACGCGATACTCGAGGACCCACGTACTCACCACGTTCTCCCCCGTCGATTTCTCTGAAAGTTTGCACATCGTGAAACACCAGTATGAGAGGTGTTCAGGCCAATTTTCAAGGAATTTCCCTGGTTGGATCGTTCCAAAATCGGACTTCCATTTCTCGCTCGCGGCCATTTCTTGCGCGATGGAAGCGCCCTGCCCTGGTGAGTAACCAGCATCGCGCTTGGTAGAGAGTTGCTGCAATCAGCTCCCTGATGTCTTCGCTGCCATTATCAGAAGCGATGAACCATGAATTTGTTTGAGAGTCTCTGGATGCTACTATTCCTCAGCCTAGTTTTCAGCCATTCCGTGCATCTTCTTCGCACGATTTATTTTGCAAAAAAATGAAAGCGTTCATGAGTTTTCTTGTCGGCCGCGCGTAGATGGGCCAGGCTGACCTGCGCAGATGGGCTGCGCAGTGCGTTCGCTGATATCCCTACTTTGGGCGGCTGGCTATAATCTTTATGTATGCAGTTTGAAACATTGCGGATATTGCGTGCGGTAGAAATAGCAGTTATTACCTCTTTGTACTCCACACGTTTAGTGCACCACGGGACAACACAGTAACATAGCCAGTGGCTGGCAATGGCAAAGTAATCAGAAAACAGGCCAATGCAAAGTGAGGGATATCTTTGGCCTGCGCCTGCTTTGTACGGACTCACTCCGTACCAACATGGAAGTTTTCTTGGTTATACACAAAGGCACATGCTTTCTAACACTATTATGGCTGCTAGAAAGCGCAACCTTTGTCGTCAAGTTTTATCCAAAATCCTATCATTCACTCCTGCCGATAGTGCTCTTCCGCTGCTCCCCAACTCCCCAACTCTCACATACAGAACAACAGGTCTTGAAGTTGTAAAGAAGGAGAGTTATGAAAGAACGCGTTGCAAGAACGACAATACAAGCAGAGCAAAAGCCATGCACAATCGATGCGCAGCGGCGCATGCAGCGGCGAAAAGGGAGCTCTGATGACACAGTGGTCAAGAGGACAGCATTTTTGCTTTAGTTAAATAATCTTCCTAATGAATATTGATTTTCTGCTTGTCTGTGGTGTGACCTTTTCAACCGTTTGTTTACTTCTGTATGATCATCTCGCTCTTCCCATCTCCTATGACGGATCTGTTCCTATCTTGTCCTCAATTCGGATGTTTTTGATGGCAACTGCAGGGGGTAAGTTTTAATAATCATCAAAAAGTCTTTACCACAAACCAATACTGATCCCTTCTCGCTACTGTCTAATAGAGTTGGTGTCGGCTGGGGTGTCTGTGGTGTGCTTGAGCAGCGCTTTTGCACAAGCAATCTTTCCTGTCTGGTCAAGTTAGTGATGGATGGTTTGTTTTGCACTTTACCTGGAAAGCTCTGCTACTCTTTGGGTGGCTGGCTATAATCTTTATGTATGCAGTTTCAAACATTGCGGATGTTGCGTGCGGTAGAAATAGCAGTTATTACCTCTTTGTACTCCACCCGTTTAGTGCACCACGGGACAACACAGTAACATAGGCAGTGGCTGGCAATGGCAAAGTAATCAGAAAACAGGCCAATGCAAAGTGAGGGATATCTTTGGCCTGCGCCTGCTTTGTACGGACTCACTCCGTACCAACATGGAAGTTTTCTTGGTTATACACAAAGGCACATGCTTTCTAACACTATTATGGCTGCTAGAAAGCGCAACCTTTGTCGTCAAGTTTTATCCAAAATCCTATCATTCACTCCTGCCGATAGTGCTCTTCCGCTGCTCCCCAACTCCCCAACTCTCACATACAGAACAACAGGTCTTGAAGTTGTAAAGAAGGAGAGTTATGAAAGAACGCGTTGCAAGAACGACAATACAAGCAGAGCAAAAGCCATGCACAATCGATGCGCAGCGGCGCATGCAGCGGCGAAAAGGGAGCTCTGATGACACAGTGGTCAAGAGGACAGCATTTTTGCTTTAGTTGAATAATCTTCCAATGAATATTGATTTTCTGCTTGTCTGTGGTGTGACCTTTTCAACCGTTTGTTTACTTCTGTATGATCATCTCGCTCTTCCCATCTCGTATGACGGATCTGTTCCTATCTTGACCTCAATTCGGATGTTCTTGACAAGCAACTGCAGACCGTAAGTTAATACTCATCAAAAGTCTTAAGCACAAACCAATACTGATCCCTTCTCGCTACTGTCTAATACAGTCCGTGTCGGCTGGGGTGTCTGTGGTGTGCTTGGGCAGCGCTTTGGCACAAGCAATCTTTCCTGTCTGGTTAAGTTAGTGATCGATGGTTTCTTTTGCGCATTACCTGGAAAGCTCTGTTACTCTTTCGCCGGCTGGCTATAATCTTTATGTATGCAATTTGAAACATTGCGGATGTTGCGTGCGGTAGAAATAGCAGTTATTACCTCTTTGTACTCCACCCGTTTAGTGCACCACAGGACAACACAGTAAAATAGCCATCAAAATGTCTTTAGCACAAACCAATATTGATCCTTTCTAGTTTCTGTCTTATAGAGTCAATGGTGGCTAGGGTGTCCGTGGTGTGTTTTTGCAGCGTTTTTCCAAACACAGTCGTTCCGGTCTGTTCTATCTAGTGATGGGTGGTTTATTGTGTACATTAACTGGGAAGCTCCGTTACTCCTTGGGAAGCCGGCAAAATAATCTTTACGAATGCGGTTTCAGGCATTGGGATGTTGCGTTCGGCAGAAGTAGCTGATACTGCGTCTTTGTAAGGGTGTCATCGAGTAGTCGGGTACTCGTTCTACCCGTTATTAGAGCGGGTATTCAGGTAGAAGTTTTTTTCTTAGAACCCAATAGCGTAGTTGGAGTACGGTATTTTTGCAACGGTGCATGTAAAAAGCACGGCTACGTGCTGACAGTGCTGCCAACCTGCTCGGTCTGATTTGCGTACTCGGACTGCTGAATTTCCGTATTTTCCAGAGGTTTTCCGTACTACCATTTTGTTTTTAAATCCCATGATTTATAAAGTATTTTTTGCCTCATTTGTAGTCTTCGGGATACTATATACCGGGTGCTCAGTAAGTCGTATAATGGTCTTGGTCCCAGGAAGTAATACGTCACGCGAACTGTAGCCTAGTGTAGAACAACATAGCCAGTGATTGGCAATGGCCAAGTAATCAGGAATTAAGTCCACTGCAAAGTGGAGTACCACATTACACTTCCTTTCAACTCTCCTATGGCTGTTGGAAAGTGCAGTTTTTGTCATCAGAGTTTGATTGGAAATACTATCATTCACCCCCACGCTAGTGCCCTTCACCCACACACAGAGAACTATTTCTTGAAGTTGTAAAGAGAGTTTTTGGAAGAACATGTTGCAAGAACGACAATACATGTAGTACAAAACTCCGCGCACAATCCAAGCACAGTGTTGCAAGCACAGGCGACCCCCTCCCCGAACATAGCGAAGACGAACAGGGGGCTCCACTGACACAGAGGTCAAAATGACAGCACTTTTGCTTTAGTTAAATAATCTTCCAATTAATATTGATTTTCTGCTTGTCTGTGGTGTGACCTTTTCAACCGTTTGTTTACTTCTGTATGATCATCTCGCTCTTCCCACCTGCTATGACGGATCTGTTCGTATCTTGTACTCAATTCGGATGTTCTTGATGGCAACTGCAGAGAGTAAGTTGATAATCATCAAAAAGTCTTTAGCACAAACCAATACTGATCCCTTCTTGTCACGAACATCAGTCGTGATCATTTATGTGCCCCCTTTTTTGGCACCAAACGATTCCCTTTTGCATGCACCCAGCCATGTCTGGCTGTCCTGCAGCTAGCAGTGTGCTCTACTTGCTCTCTGTTGTATGCATGTACCCGTTTCTGGCTGCCGTGCATGTCGCGGTGTGCTCCCCTTTCTGCGCATGTATCCATTTCTGGCTGCCATGCATGTCGCGGTGTGCTCCCCTTTCTGCGCATGTATCCATTTCTGGCTGCCATGCATGTCGCGGTGTGCTCTCTTTCTGCGCATGTATCCGTTTCTGGCTGCCGTGCATGTCGCGGTGTGCTCCCCTTTCTGCGCATGTATCCGTTTCTGGCTGCTACAGCTCGCGTTGCGCTTCCCTTGCTCTCCTATGTGTACACACGTCCATTTCTGGCTGTACACGCATGCCTATTTCTGCCTTCGCGCTGACCCCTGAGGAATCGCTTGAGCCTAGTATGGATCCAGTGATCCGAATGTAGCGCCGTTCTCAGCAAGAACTTGCCGACTTTATATTTTGTTGCTCTACAAGCAGCTTTTCGCTAGTCTTCTTCATGTCTCTTCTTAGAGTAGAGACCAGTTTTTTCCTGCTCTAATCAGTCGCTCGGAGCTACATCAATAGCAATAATAAAACCTTATAAAAGACACAAAAAAAAACCTCTTGTCGATGCGATGACAACGACGACAAACTGGTGCCAAAACCCTACTAAGTAGATGCCAGCGAAGAAGGATAAGACGCCCGTCGGGACTCTGTTCCTCAGACGTAGGCAGGTGCATGTGCAGCAAGTGGCCATTCAGAGAGACATCAAGGAAGCCTCTGCCCTGCTCCAGACCATCGAACCTGCCTCTCCCGATCCGGACACCTTGCAAAAGCTAAGTTTCTTGTGCTGTGTTTTAGAATCTTCCTTATTAGCATATGACGATTTTTGTGGTAGTTTAGCTGAGATTTTGGTTCCTGAGAATCTGGGTATCTCTAAAGAAGATGTTGAAGCTGAGTTAGAGGATTGTGTAAATTGCTCATCATCTGTACGCTCCACAATCACTGCCATCAAACGCACGTTACACACGTCATCGCCTAGCGCGATCGGAAACCCAGCTGGCGCTAGCGACCCAGACTCGCACGATCAGCATGTCTTAGCCTCAGCATCACTACACGCTACCGCAACAAAACTGCTATCTACCACACAACAACAACATAAATCCATCACTCAAACACAGTCACAGCTCCTACAACAACAGACCGCTCTCCTCAACACGCTACAATCTCAATCTCAGCCTTGTACTACTTCAACACCAACATCTGTCAAATTACCAAAATTTGAAATTTCCAAATTTTCTGGAGATTTTTTGAAATGGAGCGAATTCCATGACATGTTCATGTCCTCAATTGACAGTAACACGGGGCTGTCAGAGATACAAAAACTCACCTACCTAAAGGACCACGTTACTGGGTTGGCCCATGACGCCATCTCCGGCCTCCCTTTGTCGAACGCAAACTACACCATTGCGTTGGATATCCTCCGTGCCCGATTCGGCACCAAACAAGTACTGGTGGATTCGCATTACACGTCAATGCTCGACTTACCTTCCGCGTCGAACACCACAACCTCGTTACGCAAGTTGTATGACCAGTTAGAAATTCACTTGCGTAGCCTTGATGCTCTTGGCGAGAAAACTGACTCAGGCGTAATTATCTCCATCATGACAAGCAAACTTCCACGAGCCACACTTGTAACCCTTGAGCTAAAAAAGGGCCCAACGCCATGGACCTGCCAGGACTTAAGAGACGCTCTAGGAGTGTACATTGCGGCACACGAAGCGGCAGATCGCCTTTGCCCGGCAAAGAAGCCCAACGACACAAGCAGCTTCAAGGCCTCTCATGCCACATCCCCTTCCCCATCTCCATCTTCTGGGCATTCATTACCAGCACAAGCAATGTCTCGGCGAAAGCCTACTTGTGCATTTTGCAAGGCCGCACATTATACAGACGAATGCACCAAAGTTACCACGATCAATGACAGACAGAAGGCAGCTAAAGGTCGTTGCCTCAAATGCTTCAGTACACGGCACAGTACACGTGAATGCACTAGCACAATCACTTGCTATCATTGCAAAACGTCTGGCCATCACCGCAGTTTGTGCCCGACTAAATTCACAGCCTCATCCCAAACCAGCCTAAGCGCTCATGCGGAGGTTTTCACACCTCACGCCAACACACTTACAACGAACGGTGGTAGCCATGTCGTAATGCAAACGGCCGTAGCATCATGCTCAACACACGATGGTGACATTGTCAATGCGAGAATCTTGTTCGACACTGGTGCAAATCGCACGTATGTCACTTCACACTTAGCAACACGTCTCAACCTGCCTACAGTCGGTAAGCAGTATATTTCTTTAGCAACCTTTGGCAATAGCAAGCGACACACAACAGAATATGACCAGGTGGAAGTTAGGGTGCAGTGCAATGATGGCTCTATGCACCTCCTCAAAGCATGTGTGTTACCAGAAATCACTGCACCGATTCAGAGGGTAGAATTGGCAAAGCGGTATCCAGTCTTGCAATCATTGCCCCTTGCCGAACCGCTAGCGTCTTCTTCAGGCTCATTGCCCATCGACATACTGGTGGGCCTCGATCACTACTACCATATTGTGGGTCCAGACCGCTTGGAACTTCCAGGGGGACTTGTCCTCCTGCAGTCTTCCCTCGGCTTCATTTGTACAGGTACGGTACCTACACCGGCCACGTCGGAGGGTCAATCATGTCTTGCAGTCCACAGTCACAGCGATGGAGATCCCTCTATGGACTTGCAGCGGTTTTGGGCAGCGGAAGAGTTCCCTGTCCCAGACAACGCAGACCACGAAGACATCGTTCTTCAGCGATTCCTCCACACACTCTCTTTCGAAGACTCTCGCTATGTTGTCGAGTGGCCGTGGCGGGACCTGCACGACGAACTTCCATCCAACTACGGATTAGCACTGGGCCGACTGACCTCCCTTTTGAAACGTGTCACGTCAAAGCGTACTCTTCTTCAACAGTACAACAGTGTGTTGCAAGATCAGTTGACCAAAGGCATTATTGAGATAGTACCGCCTGGGCCCACTTCGAATTCTGTGCATTATCTTCCCCACCACTGCGTAGAGAAGCCTTCACACACGACTACCAAGCTCCGAATAGTCTACGATGCTTCCGCCAAGCTCTCACGCTCCCACCCCAGCCTGAACGACTGCCTAGCTGCTGGCCCGAACCTCGTCCCTGATCTCGCTGGAGTCCTTCTGCGTTTCCGCCTTTCGCCTATTGCCATTTCCAGTGACATAGAAAAAGCTTTCCTTCAACTCAGCCTATGCAAAGCGGACAGAGACGTCACTCGTTTTCTGTGGGTCAAGGACCTTGATCAACCACCCTCACCAGAGAATCTTGTAGTCTACCGCTTCTGTCGTGTGCCATTTGGGGTGATCAGTAGCCCCTTCCTTCTAGCAGCTACTGTTCGCCATCATCTCTCTATTGCCGACGTCCCAGACGCGCAAGAACTTCTTCGGAATATCTATGTAGACAACTTGTTTATCGGCGCAACCTCTCCTGATGAGGCCCTTCATAAGTACACTGCAACGAAGAAGTTATTCTCAGCCGCATCGATGAATGCCCGAGAATGGTCCAGCAACAGTCCAGAGTTCCTTCACCACGTTCCCGAACTCGATTGCGCTTCAACCGGTACACAAAAGTGCCTTGGTATGCTTTGGGATACCTGTCAAGATAGTCTCTTCTGTACAAAGGTCGCTGCCACTCATGCCGTCATAGCAACCAAACGTCACCTACTGCAAACCGTGGCCAAGTTCTTCGATCCACTTGGATTGCTTTCTCCTGTTCTGGTGCGCGCCAAGATACTTCTCCAGGACGTGTGGAAGTTAGATGTAGGCTGGGATGACCCTCTTCCACTTGAAATCTTGGATCGATGGCAGAGTATTGCGATTGATTTAGAAGAAGCGCATACTGTGGCCTTCCCTCGGTACGTCGGCAACGCATCACCCAATGTCTCGCATGCGCTCCATGTCTTCTGCGATGCGTCTGAAGCAGCCTATGGCGTAGCTGCCTATCTTGTTACCGACAATGCCCATGAGCGGGCATCTCACCTCATCTACAGCAAGTCTCGTGTTGCGCCAGTAAAGCCGTGCTCCATCCCCCGCCTCGAGCTGATGGCAGCTCTACTTGGTGCCCGAGTCATCCTCTACTTACGCAAGGAGCTTCCTTTGGCCTTCTGCTCCACAGTGTTGTGGTCTGATTCGACCACCGTTCTCCACTGGCTACAATCAAATGACAAGTTGCCAGTCTTTGTCCTCAACCGTGTAACCGCAATACGAGCCGTCAACGATCTCCAGTGCCGTCATGTTCGCTCAGCTCACAACCCAGCGGATCTGCCGTCACGAGGAGCATCAACCTCATTCCTACTGGACAACATCCTCTGGTGGCACGGACCGCCCCTCCTCACGCAGCCTCTAGCTGATCTACCATCAAATGGCCCAATCGCGCACGCCACCATCGCCCTTGGGGAGGGTCCTCCGGATTCAAAGGTGCCAGAGTCTCAGCAACCACACAATAAAAAACCCGATGCACATCACAAGCAAAAAAAAAGATGTGATGAAACACCCCCATTTGATATTGATGTAACACGGTTTAGTTCGTTCTACACCTTAGTACGTGTCTCTGGTTTGTGTGCCCGCTTTGTGTCCAGACTCAAGTCGAAGCTACCGGGAGGGGCCGCGGCTGGGCCTCTCCCCCTCAGCAGCAGGGAAACGGAACAAGCACAACTGCTTTGGATACGCCATTGGCAGCAGCGACACTACCCAGACGTTGTCGACTGCTTGGCATCCAACAAGCCTCATCAGCTGATCGGCAAGCTAGGCCTGTTCAGTGATGAAGACGGTATCATCCGGTGTCGTGGACGACTGGAGAATGCAGACCTGTGCAATGACGCCAAGTTCCCGATCCTACTACCCAGAGCTGTAGCCAGCCTCGTCATCACTGACTGCCACAAGAAAGTGTTTCACTTCGGTGTGAACCACACGCTCGCCAGCCTAAGACTGAAGTACTGGGTACCGAAGGGACGAGCGGCAGTCAAATCCACTCTGCGACTTTGCCAGGTTTGCCGGCATCACAGTGGTCCCCCATTCGCCAAACCGGATATGGCCCCCTTGCCATCATCGCGTGTGAAGCCATCCAGAGCCTTCAGCCACACTGGAATTGATTTCTTTGGCCCAGTATATGTCCGTGGCCAGCCAGTTGCTACAAAGGTCTGGGTCTGTTTGTTTTCCTGCATGTCCACCAGAGCAGTGCATTTGGAAACAGTGAGCAACATGACCACAAGTGAATTTCTGCTAGCCTTCCGCAGATTTGTTGCACGACGTGGAACCCCAGCACTCATAGTGTCGGACAATGCGCCCCAATTCAAGGCAGCGCCCACAGCTTTAGAAGTCGCATTCCGCGATATTCTACACCATGAGGACGTCAGGTCCCACTTCGCCCGTCATGATATCCAATGGCAATTCATAGTGGAATCAGCACCATGGATGGGTGGATTCTACGAGAGGCTTGTGGGCACAGTGAAGAAAGCTATGAAGAAGGCACTGGGCAGATCCCTAGTCAGTCTTCAACACCTCAGCACGCTGCTCACTGAGATAGAAGCAGTTGTGAATTCCCGTCCACTTGTTTACATCGACGAAGATGTCCGTACTGTACTGACACCTGGTCACTTCCTCTCCATCAGCCAGAGCACTGGCCTCTTTGATCTCCCGGAGACAAGTGACGACCCTGACTTCCGCCCGACTCCAACCACTGCCGAAGAGTTACTCGCCGGTTGGAAGAAAGGTCAGAACCGCCTCCATGAGTTTTGGCGCATGTGGTGCAATGACTACCTGCTGAGTCTACGCTCAACGCACACCACCCATCACAGCCAAGGCCGTTCTGTCCTCCATCGTACACCTGCAATTGGAGAAGTTGTGTTGATAAAGGACCAGCTTCCCCGAGCATCTTGGAGATTGGGCAAGGTGTGTGAAGTACATGTCAGTGCAGACAACAAGATCCGGTCGGCGTCTGTCACCACTGCTGATCGACGCACACTGAAGCGTCCACTCAGCTTACTCTATCCGCTGGAACTGAGCGCGACAGCGACACCACCAGCCGGTGTTACAGCAGATGTCGCCTCTGAACCTGATGCCGTCCCAGACTCTTCTAAAGCTCGTCCACAGCGCGCTGCCGCAGCCAAGCAGAGAATTGCGCTGAAGAGTCTCATTGAAGATGATGCCGTCTAGCGCTACCAGTAAGCATATTTCTCCTTTCCTCTTTCCTGTACTGATTTTTCTCAAATTATTCTTTCGCTCATTTTCTCTCCTTTCTTCTTGGTGGGGAGTGTCACGAACATCAGTCGTGATCATTTATGTGCCCCCTTTTTTGGCACCAAACGATTCCCTTTTGCATGCACCCAGCCATGTCTGGCTGTCCTGCAGCTAGCAGTGTGCTCTACTTGCTCTCTGTTGTATGCATGTACCCGTTTCTGGCTGCCGTGCATGTCGCGGTGTGCTCCCCTTTCTGCGCATGTATCCATTTCTGGCTGCCATGCATGTCGCGGTGTGCTCCCCTTTCTGCGCATGTATCCATTTCTGGCTGCCATGCATGTCGCGGTGTGCTCTCTTTCTGCGCATGTATCCGTTTCTGGCTGCCGTGCATGTCGCGGTGTGCTCCCCTTTCTGCGCATGTATCCGTTTCTGGCTGCTACAGCTCGCGTTGCGCTTCCCTTGCTCTCCTATGTGTACACACGTCCATTTCTGGCTGTACACGCATGCCTATTTCTGCCTTCGCGCTGACCCCTGAGGAATCGCTTGAGCCTAGTATGGATCCAGTGATCCGAATGTAGCGCCGTTCTCAGCAAGAACTTGCCGACTTTATATTTTGTTGCTCTACAAGCAGCTTTTCGCTAGTCTTCTTCATGTCTCTTCTTAGAGTAGAGACCAGTTTTTTCCTGCTCTAATCAGTAGCTCGGAGCTACATCAATAGCAATAATAAAACCTTATAAAAGACAAAAAAAAAACCTCTTGTCGATGCGATGACAACGACGACACTTCTCGCTACTGTCTAATAGAGTCCGTGTCAGCTGGGGTGTCTGTGGTGTGCTTGGGCCGCGCTTTTGCACAAGAAATCTTTCCTGTCTGGTCAAGTTAGTGATGGATGGTTTGTTTTGCACATTACCTGGAAAGCTCTGTTACTCTTTGGGCGGCTGGCTATAATCTTTATGTATGCAGTTTCAAACATTGCGGATGTTGCGTGCGGTAGAAATAGCAGTTATAACCTCTTTGTACTCCACCCGTTTAGTACACCACGGGACAACACAGTAACATAGGCAGTGGCTGGCAATGGCAAAGTAATCAGAAAACAGGCCAATGCAAAGTGAGGGATATCTTTGGCCTGCGCCTGTTTTGTACGGACTCACTTCGTACCAACATGGAAGTTTTCTTGGTTATACACAAAGGCACATACTTTCTAACACTATTATGGCTGCTGGAAAGCGCAACTTTTGGCGTCAAGTTTTATTCGAAATCCTATCATTCACTCCTGCCGATAGTGCTCTTCCGCTGCTCCCCAACCCTCACATACAGAGCAACAGTTTTTGAAGTTGTCAAGAAGGAGAGTTATGAAAGAAAGCGTTGCAAGAACGACAATACATGTAGAACAAAGGCCATGCACAATCGATGCGCAGCGGCGCATGCAGAGGCGAAAAGGGGGCTCTGATGACACAGTGGTCAAGAAGACTGCACTTTTGCTTTATTTAAATAATCTTCCAATGATTATTGATTTTCTGCTTGTCTGTGGTGTGACCTTTCCAACCGTTTGTTTACTTCTGTATGCTCATCTCGCTCTTCCCATCTCCTATGACGGATCTGTTCCTATCTTGTCCTCAATTCGGATGTTCTTGATCGCAACTGCAGGGCGTAAGTTAATAATCATCAAAAAGTCTTTAGCACAAACCAATACTGATCCCTTCTCGGTTCTGTCTTATAGAGTCCATGGTGGCTACGGTGTCCGTGGTGTGTTTTTTCAGCGTTTTTGCAAACACAGTCTTTCCTGTCTGTTCTATCTAGTGATAGGTGGTTTCTTGTGTACATTAACTGGGAAGCTCCGTTACTCATTGGGCAGCCGGCAAAATAATCTTTATGAATGCGGTTTCAGGCATTGGGATGTTGCGTTCGGCAGAAGTAGCTGACACTGCGTCTTTGTAGGGGTGTCATCGAGTAGTCGGGTACCCGTGCTACCCGTTATTAGAGCGGGTATTCGGGTAGCAGTTTTGCTTCTTAGAACCCAATAGCGTAGTTGGAGTACGGTATTTTTGCAACGGTGCATGTAAAAAGCACGGCTTTGTGCTTACAGTGCTGCCAACCTGCTCGGTCTGATTGGCGTACTCGGACTGCTGAATTTCCGTATTTTCCAGAGGTTTTCCGTACTACCATTTTGTTTTTAAATCTCATGATTTATAAAGTATTTTTTGCCACATTTGTAGTCTTCGGGATACTGTACCCCCTATATACCGGGTGCTCAGTAAGTCGTATAATGGTCTTGGTCCCAGGAAGTAATACGTCACGCGAACTGTAGCCTAGTGTAGAACAACCAGCAATGGTGTGCAATACACGTACACCATGTACACAGCGCTTGAAATCTTTGTCACTGTCTGAATCTCGAGGTTGGAGTCAGGAACACTGTTTTTAGCGTGATAGTAGGTCTACTCCGCAGTTTTATGTGCTCTGCATGCAATTATGTACATAGTCATGTACATGTACATGTATTACCATACCGTGTACATGAAGAAAAACTGGTTCATAGTCAGCTGATCCATAATTATCAGTTTTCTGTACAATTTCGTTCAATTTCCGTACTGCAGACAAAGGAATGAATTAGCGTACAAATACGGAAAATACGGAAGGTTGGCAGCACTGTGCTTACTGTACACTTTCTACATAGCGCAAGTGCACGCTCACTGTACAAACTATGCCACATATACCCGATAGGGTACCCGCGCTACCCGGATAGAAATGCCCAAACTAGTTACCCGACCAAACCTCTACCCGTTGCAAAACTACGTCGTTTTGTGCTCAGGACAACACAGTAACATAGCCAGTGATTGGCAATGGCCAAGTAATCAGGAATTAAGTCCACTGCAAAGTGGAGTACCACATTACAAGTGCTTTCAACTCTCTTATGGCTATTGGAAAGTGCAATTTTTGTCATCAGAGTTTGATTGGAAATACTATCATTCATCCCCACGCTAGTGCCCTTCACCCACACACAGAGAACCAGTTCTTGAAGTTGTAAAGAGAGTTTTTGGAAGAACATGTTGCAAGAACGACAATACATGTAGTACAAAAGTCCACGCACGATCCAAGCACAGCGTTGCACGCACAGGTGACCCCCCTCCCCGAGCATAGCGAAGACGAAAAGGGGGGCTTCACTGACACAGAGGTGAAAATGACAGCACTTTTGCTTTAGTTAAATAATCTTCCAATGAATATTGATTTTCTGCTTGTCTGTGGTGTGACCTTTTTAACCGTTTGTTTACTTCTGTATGATCATCTCGCTCTTCTCATCTATGACGGATCTGTTCCTATCTTGTCCTCAATTCGGATGTTCTTGATGGCAACTGCAGGGGGTAAGTTAATAATCATCAGAAAGTCTTTAGCACAAACCAATGCTGATCCCTTCTCGCCATTGTGTAATAGAGTACGTGTCGGCTGGGGTGTCTGTGGGCAGCGCTTTTGCACAAGCAATCTTTCCTGTTATGGTTGCTAGAAAGCGCAACTTTTGTCGTCAAGTTCTATTCGAAATCCTATCAATCACTCCTGACGATAGTGCTCTACCGCTGCTCCCCAACTCTCACATACAGAACACCAGTTCTTGAAGTTGTAAAGAAGGAGAGTTATGAAAGAATGCGTTGCAAGAACGACAAAACATGATTGTAGACCAAAGGCCATGCACAATCGATGCGCAGCGGCGCATGCAGAGGCGAAAAGGGGGCTCTTATGACACAGTGGTCAAGAAGACAGCACTTTTACTTTAGTTAAATAATCTTCCAATGAATATTGATTTTCTGCTTGTCTGTGGTGTGACCTTTTCAACCGTTTGTTTACTTCTGTATGATCATCTCGCTCTTCTCATCTCCTATGACGGATCTGTTCCTATCTTGTCCTCAATTCGGATGTTCTTGATGGCAACTGCAGCGGGTAAGTTGATAATCATCAAAAAGTCTTTAGCACAAACCAATATTGATCCCTTCTTGGTTCTGTCTGATAGAGTCCATGGTGGCTACGGTGTCCGTGGTGTGTTTTTTCAGCGTTTTTGCTAGGGGTGAAACAATTATACCGAATATTCGAATACTCGTTTGGAGTTTTCAAATATAATCGTACTCGGAATAAATCAGAGTACTCGCTCATACATGGTACATGCATTTACCACAGAAGTATGCAGTTTCAGGGCAGCAGTCAGCAGATATTGATGTGCAGACTGTGTGGTGAACATTTGTACACGAGTAGAGAGAGCCCAAATGACCCACCAACCAATACACCTGAGAAAAGGACTGCCAATCGGTTCAATCAGGGTTGTACCGTGGATTTTTAAGGCCGTTGGTGTGCGATTTTTAGGATATCAAGAATACTCGAATACTCGAATATTCGATCGGAGAAAATCAGAGTACTCGAACTCGGGATCTCAGTGTCAACTTTCACCCCTAGTTTTTGCAAACACAGTCTTTCCTGTCTGTTCTATCTAGTGATGGGTGGTTTCTTGTGTACATTAACTGGGAAGCTCCGTTACTCCCTGGGTAGCCGGCAAAATAATCTTTATGAATGCGGTTTCAGGCATTGGGATGTTGCATTCGGCAGAAGTAGCTGATAGTGCGACTTTGTAGGGATGTCATCGAGTAGTCGGGTACCCGTGCTACCCGTTATTAGAGCGGGTATTCAGGTAGCAGTTTGCTTCTTAGAACCCAATAGCGTAGTTGGTATTTTTGCAACGGTGCATGTAAAAAGCACGGCTATGTGCTTACAGTGCTGCCAACCTACTCGGTCTGATTTGCGTACTCGGACTGCTGAATTTCCGTATTTTCCAGAGGTTTTCCGTACTACCATTTTGATTTTAAATCCCATGATTTATAAAGTATTTTTTGCGACATTTGTAGTCTTCGGGATACTGTACCCCCTATATACCGGGTGCTCAGTAAGTCGTATATGGTCTTGGTCCCAGGAAGTAATACGTCACGCAAACTGTAGCC